AGTTAAGCTGAGCTAAACACGTTTCATTCTTTAGGAAATTAAGAAAGTACTATTGAGATTTTCCCAATCCTCAGATTTTGAATGATAAGTAGACATTATTGTGAGATGAAAGCTCTACATCTTTTGCATAATTATATCTCATTTTTCCTAGTTTCAGATGTTCAACAACTGCCATTGCACCTTCGTAAGTGAGGTCAGTGTCATATAAACAGATGGACTGAGCCAGAGTCAGTGTCGGGAAAAAAACCAATTCATAATATCCCTTGTTTCTTCATTATCTAGAGAGAGTCTGTTGACAGCATCATCAGTTAGCCGTGTCAGAGGGCAATGTACCTCAGATCTTCACACATATCCTTCCTAACAGTTACAAGTGGACTAGTGTAGCTGAAACTGAGAATATCATAATCATATACATCTTCAATGAGGTTAATAAAATCCTCAAGAGTGTCTCTATGGTCTTCTCCATCCTGCTGAAGACATGAGCATGGAACGTTTGCAACTTTCACATAAAGAAAAATTGCTTGTGATTATTAGCTCCCATCCGTCAGTTTGTTCTTTCGTTTTCCATCACGTTCTTCTTTCTCAAGCCGTGGCCTCTTTCTATGCCATTCCTTTAACTGGGATGAAACTCTTCTATCTATTTTACATCGTTTTTAAGAATGCTCTATATCCCCACTATTAAATAGAGTCTGCTGCATCTGCTTAACATGTTCATTTAGCAGTTTTCTGACTCCAGTTATAGAAAGTGATGAATCCTCAATGATCAGTCTCTGCATACCAGGATATTTATTAAAATAGTTGTCCAGCACAAAGTAATTTGTATTATTATAGAATTCCACGTTTCTTAGCATCAATCGCTGTAATCTTTCAGGTAAAGTAAGATTTAGTTTTACCTGGAGTGCCCACTCATTAAAGGGCCCATCTTCTTTGTTCTTTCATTCTTTTCTTCTATCTCTGTTGTCTCCATGGGCTCTTGATTTCTGGCAATTTCTTTAGCAGTCTTTGCTCCAGGTATAAATCTTACAAACAAACATATTTAAATCTTTGAAATGAGAGAGATCAATCTTGAAGGCTTTATGTATATATACATCATGTATACTCAGAGATGTAACATTATGAGGGGGATCAAATTTATCGAGAAGCTCTTGCAGCCTATCAAAATATTTGATTGTGAGATTTAGTGGGATAGGTTCCAGTACACAAAACCTGACACCATCTTTAATATCCTGTTCATTAGCCTTGAGAACAACTCGTACCCAAACTTTTCTAAGACAGACAAGCCTGTACATGATAGAATCTCTTGTAATGTAGCAATATCATACACACAAACATCCAAGACCTCCAGTTTCTGCATACACAAACATTTGAAAAATTGAGGAATTCCAGAACAGATGAAAGGCCAACATATTTAGTGATGTTTAATTGAGTGTCTCTGCAATTGGCTATTGCACATGAAAGTTCCTTTAACCTTTTTATGAAATGCTGGAAGAAAATCCTTTGAATAATCATTATCTGGATGAAAGCATGCTTGGCCAACTCAGCTAATGTACTGAGCATATTCCAGACCTTCTTTAAAGTTCTTGCACTGGAGCCGCTCTCTACTTAATTGTTAAGTGTTTTTTTTATTTTGACATTCTTCAATATTTCAGCTATTTTATCTATATTACTTTCATCTAGGCATTTACACTTCAATACCCATGAATTCTTACTAGCTAACATTTCTGCTAGCAGTTCGACAATTTCCTGCCGATACGACAAGTCTCAGTAAGCTTAACTATAAAAGACCACATTGTAAACGATGTTTTATTGCCACACTTCTTAGTGTTGTCACTAGATTCAGCAGTAGAAGTAGCACCTTCAGGCAAGTCAATGTCCATAGACTCTTCATTGTTGTTTGAGTTGGAATTCTGACAAGTGTGTTTACTTGCTTTTTTCTTATTCCGTTTCTTGTGTTCTTGGTTTGGCACTTCAATACCAAACAACTTCAGAAGATAAGACTTAATTAATGGTAAATTATTCTGAATACTCTGCTCATCCTTAGTCCACATAGCACAAGTAATTCTAAAAACTCTTTTAAACAATGGAACTTGTTTAAGCCATTTCTTGCACGCTTCCTTGGGCTGAGAAATAACATATTTGGCAGAGAGGAAATCTTCTATAACTCTGTAGCGAAAACTAGCATACTCATCATGATATTCAAAGAATGGCTTTTTCACTTCATCTCTTATATCCTGGAGATCATCACTATTATAAAGCATTCTATTATTTAAGATCAAACAAAATGCAGCTTTCCCAAGTTTAATCAACTCTTCATGAAAATCTTCTAAATGACCAACCTTCCTTTCTATAAAATGTTCCAATATTGTCTCACATTGAGCATTTCCTCCAATCTCGTGAAATATACTAACCATGTCTGGAGTGTCGAGAAGTCCCTTGAATTTGCACTTCTTGTATTGTTCACATATATGCCTTGATTCATTCACATAACTGATGCTTTGTAATATCTGCTCTACTTTATTTTCATTCAGCGGCAAGACCTTAAGTAAGTGACAATATGAAGGTATTGTATGGGTACCTTGCAAAGTGATGACCCACGTTCCCCACTCCACATCAACCAATTTGTCCTCTACACACTGGAGGTTCCAGTCGAGCAGGAAAAGAATCTTATCAGCATGAATTTGTATAGTATCTTTCTACCAAACTTCTCCCATACCTGCTTTCTGTCTTACAAGCATGATGTGTCAAGATCTCAAATACCTGACTCCACATTATATTTCTTGTAAACCTGCAACAAGTATCTAAGTAGAAAATTAATGAGAAATCTGAAGTATCTACATTCTGAGTAAACTGATCAGCTAGATTTATCAAAACAGATGTTTTACCAGCCCCAGGAGCTCCACAGATTATAAATGGTTGTGTTGTTTTGTAGTCATTTATAAACTTCCAGAGGTTGTCAACAAGTGATGTACACTGCAAATCACTCCTGGAAGAAAAACAATTTATAAGCAATAAATCATTATTACAATTTTTTTTTTTTTTTAATTTTTTTTTATTAACACATCGCCGTCTCCCACCAAGGCAGGGTGACTCAAAAATGACAAAACACTTTCACCATCATTCACTCCATCACTGTCTTGCCAGAGGCATGGGAAGGACAGTGCACGCACTGTACCTCCCACCTCCAGGATTCAAGTCCATCTTACCAGTTTCCCTGAATCCCTTCATAAATGTTACCTTGCTCACACTCCAACAGCATGTACAAATCAAATTCTCATGGAAAATTGGCAAAAGCAAAAACAGTCCATGAGGAAATTTTTATTAACATATTGATCATTTTCCACCAAGGCAGGGGAATTCAAAGAAGAAAATATATTCACCATCACTCATTCTTCAGCTTTTTTTCCAGAAGTACAAAGACTACACAACTGAACCCCTGAACTGTCAATATCCCTCAAACTGAATGTCATTTCTCTGCTGCAATCTCTCTAAGACAGTAAAGAATCTTTTTCTAAAGGTAATGATACCAAAATGTTTCACTTAATGCAACAGTGATTTCATCTAATTTGATGTATATTTTAAGCCAATTTCCATGCCCAAACTGACCTAATTCCTGGTTAATTTTTGAGTATGCATTCCACTCAACACTGATAACAAAAAAACTGTCCATTCAAATACAAATACAGTGGACCCCCGGTATTCGATATTAATCCGTTCCTGAGAGCTCATCGAATACCGATAATATCGAAAACCGAATCAATTTTCCTCATAAGAAATAATGGAAATCAAATTAATCCGTGCAAGACACCCAAAAGTATGAAAAAAAAAAATTTTACTACATGAAATATTAAGTTTAATGCAATAGAATAATTACAATAACAATAAAATAATTGACGCTTACCTTTAATGAAGATCTGGTGATGATTGATGGAATGGGAGGAGGGGAGAGGTGTTAGTGTTTAGAAGAGGAATCCCCTTCCATTAGGACTTGGTAGCAAGTCCTTTTCCGGGGTTACTTCCCTTCTTCTTTTAATGCCACTAGGACCAGCTTGAGAGTCACTGGACCTCTGTCTCACAACAAATCTGTCCACAGAGCTCTGTACCTCCCGTTCCTTTACGATTTGTCTAAAATGGGCCACAACATTGTCATTATAATAGTCACCAGCACGGCTTGCAATAGCTGTGTTAGGGTGATTTTCATCCATAAAGGTTTGCACTTCAACCCACTGTGCACACATTTCCTTAATTTTGAAGTAGGCACAATGGATTCCACAACTGGCATAGGCTTCTCAGGGTTAGCCCCAAACCCTTCAAAATCTTTCTTAATTTCCATACTAATTCTCACCCTTTTTTTACCACGGGGTTTGGCATAGAAGCTTTCGGGGGCCCAGGGACTTATTTTGCAAAACAACACAAACACATGAAAATATGGATAATAGGGAAATGTCCCAATGTACCCTTTAAATGCCGCACACGGGGGTTGTAAACCGGGCCCAACCGGGGCAGTTCAGGCCCATGTGGACAGGTCTTTAAAAATCGTATAAATCCCGGTTTTTTAAATCAAATACCGGGAAAATTTTGCATATAATGCATCAAATACCGGATTTATGAATACCGATGCCACTTCCGGGGCCCACGTACAAAAGTTTATTTTTTTTTCCCAAAGGGCTAAATGGTTTACATTTAAAATTTAATTGGTACAAAGAAAGCCCCCAAAAGACAATTTAAGAACAAAGAAAAAAGGAACACTGTACACCTACTGCCCCAGAAAAAAGCGGGTCCATGTCAACTCCCCGGCAGACCAAAAAACCCCCCCTAGTCGGGTCACTTTCACTTTTAAGGAAGGAGACAGATAGATCTAGTAGCACAAGCTAGTCAGGTCCAACTCACACCGACTCAAGTACAGTGGACCCCTGCATAACGATATTAATCTTTCCCTGAGAGCTCATTGTTATGCGAAATTATCGTTATGCGAATGAATTTTCCCCATAAGAAATAATGGAAATCAAATTAATCCGGCAAGACACCCAAAAGTATGAAAAAAAAAAAATTTACCACATGAATTAATTTTAATACAAAAACTGAAAAAGGCATGCACAGTTACATGACACTTACCTTTATTGAAGATCTGGGGGATGTTTGATGGATGGGAGGAGGAGAGAGTCTTAGTGTTTAGAAGGGTAATCCCCTTCCATTAAGACTTGAGGTGTCAAGTCCTTTTCTGGGGTTACTTCCCTTCTTCTTTTAATGCCACTAGGACCAGCTTCAGAGTCACTGGACTTCTGTCGCACAACATATCTGTCCATAGTGGCCTGTCCCTCTCGTTCCTTTATGACTTTCCCTAAAGTGTTTCACAACAGTGTCAGTGTAATAGTCACCAGCACGGCTTGCAATAGCTGTTTTAAAGGGTGTTTGTCATCAAAAAAGGTTTGCACTTTAAGCCACATTCCACACATTTCCTTAATCTTTGAAGTAGGCAACTTCTTAAATTTTCTCTCTCCCCCCCTCCTCTGAACCAGTTTCCTCGGGTCTGGCCTCTTGCTGTTGAAGTTGATCTAGCAGCTCATCAGTGGTTAGTTTTCATTGTCCTCCTCCCCCAAAACTCTTCCACACATCCCCACTAACCTCCAACCCCAAGGGCTTTCCCCAAAATGCCACAATGGATTCCTCAACTGGCATAGGATTCCCAGGGTTAGCCTCAAACCCTTCAAAATCCCTTTGGTCTACACATTCTGGCCACAGTTTCTTCCAAGCGAGTTCAAGGTCCTCTTAGTCACTCCCTCCCAAGCCTCACCTATAAGGTTTCCCACAATTGAGGATATTAAAGTGATCTCTCCAAAACTCTCTTGAGTCAATTGAGTTTCTGAGGTCACTACAAAGCACCTTTCAAACAGAGCTTTTGTGTACAGTTTTTTGAAGTTTGCAATAACCTGCTGGTCCATGGGCTGCAGGAGAGGAGGGGTATTAGGAGCAAAAACTTCACCTTAATGAAGCCATGCCCCCATAAAGTCCGCTCTGCCACGTCTGTAGGATGACCAGGGGCACTAACCCCAGGAGGCACTTAAGGTCTAATTTTCTTTTCAGTTAGGTAATCTTTCACATTGGGGCAAATGCTTGGTGTAACCAGTCATAGAAAAAGTCCCTAGTGACCCATGCCTTACTGTTTTGCCCTCCACAGCACACACAAATTAAAGCCTTGGGGATATTCTTTTGCCTGAACGCTCTGGGAGTTTCTGAGTGATACACTAATAAAGGCTTCACTTTGCAATCCCACTAGCATTGGAACACATCAACAGAGTAAGCCTGTTTTTCATAGGCTTATGTCCTGGAGTGCCTTTTCCTCCTGAGTAATGTAGGTCCTGCTTGGCATTTTCTTCCAAAACAGGCCTGTTTCATCACAATTAAACACTTGTTCAGGTTTCAGTTCTTCATTGTCTATGTACTCCTTGAATTCCTGCACATATTTTTCACTGCTTTGTGGCCGAACTGGGAGCCTCACCATGCCTTATCACACTATGTTGCCACTACGCTTCTTAAATCTCTCAAACCAACCTTTGCTGGCCTTTAAAAATTTACTCACATCATCACTAGTTGCAGGCATTTTTTTAATTAAATCCTCATGCAACTTCCTAGCCTTTTCACTTATGATCACTTGAGATGCTATCTCCTGCTATCTGCTTTTCATTTATCCATACCCAAAAAGAGTCTCTCAACATCTTCCATCACTTGCGATCTCTGTTTCGAAAACACAGTTGAACCTTTGGCAAGAACAGCTTCCTTGATTGCCATTTTGTTGGACACAATAGTAGTGATGGTTTATTGGGGTTTATATACAACCTGCCAGCTCGGAGACACGCACTCCACTTTCATACTTAGCAATGATCTCTTTCATCTCTATAGTAGTTCTCACCCTTATTCCTGTAGGGTTGGCACTAAAAAGCTTTCTTGGGGGCCCCTGGTCACTTATTTTGCAGATAAAATCACCAAAACGCTGTAATAATGAAATGTTCCGATTGTAAAGCTTTTGGGTGTTACCGCGGAGGCTGGCTGGTAAACAATGCCCCCGGCGGAACATGTGAGGCTGGCTCAGGCCGCACATTAGACGCATCTCAGGGCGAATAGCACTGAGCGGGTTTTTTAGCGGTATGCGAGGCAAAATCTTAGCGATAAAATGTATCGGTATGCAGATTTAACGTTATGTGATGCCAACGGTATGTGGGGGTCCACTGTATTTATCTAACCTGTTTTTAAAACTACATAATGTTTTCGCTTCTATGATGGTACTCGGGAGTTTGTTCCACTCATCCACAACTCTATTGCCAAACCAGTGCTTTCCTATATCCTTCCTGAATCTGAATTTTTCCATCTTGAAACCATTGCTGCGAGTCCTGTCTTGGCTGGATATTTTCAGCACGCTGTTTACATCCCATCCAAAGTGGACCCCTGGATTACGTAATTAATCCGTTCCAGAGAGAGTGACTTATCCCGAATATGACATTCCAAATTAATTTTCCCCATAAGAAATAATGGAAATCCAATTAATCCGTTCCAGACACCCAAAAGTATTAAACAAAATAAATTTTTTTACATGAAATATACTTTTCCCTACACAGAAAACAATGAGACATGCAGAGTAAAACATTACTAAAATGACACTTACCTTCATTGAAGACTTATTGATGAGTGATGAGATGGGAGGAGGGGAGAGGATGGAGGTGTACTATTGTTTGTAAAGGGAATCCCCTTCCATAAAGACTTCAGGTACCATGTCT